TCTCTCTCTGTCTCTGTGTGTGTGTGTGTCTGTGTGTGTGTGTGTGTGTGTGTTAAAGTTGCACGGCGTATCGATACTAAAATGGTACCGCGGTACCTGTACGTTAAAAACGATACGATTTTGCATATTTTTAGTATCGATACTTACGACAATAAAAACGACAATAAAAAAAAAGCTGGGCAGGAACAAGCTGGTAAGAAAGGGAACCGTACAGATGTTTTATTTATTAGTATTATAGATAAATATACCAGTATCGTATCGTATTTCCGTATTTTGGCAGACCGGGGTGGTGGTTCCCATTTTCAAAAAGGGGTACCGGAGAGTGTGCTCGAATTACCGGGGTATCACACTACTCAGCCTCCCGGGGAAGGCTTATGCCAGGGTGCTGGAAAGGAGGCTCCGACCGCTTGTCGAACCTCAGATTCAAGAGGAGCAGTGCGGATTCCGTCCCGGCCGTGGAACAGTGGACCAGCTCTTTACCCTCGCAAGACTACTGGAGGGGTTCTGGGAGTTTGCCCAACCAGTCTACATGTGCTTTGTGGACTTGGAGAAGGCTTTTGACCGGGTCCCTCGGGGGTTCTTGTGGGGGGTGCTGCGGGAGTATGGGGTGCCGGACCCGTTGCAACGGGCGATCCGGTCTCTGTACGACTGCAGTAGGAGCTGTGTCCGCATTCTCGGCAATAAGTCAGACACGTTCCCGGTGGGTGTTGGCCTCCGCCAGGGCTGCCCTTTGTCACCGGTCCTGTTCATGATTTTCACGGACAGGATATCTAGGCGCAGCCTGGGGGCGGAGAACGTCAGTCTCGGGGGTCTCGGGATCGCCTCTCTGCTATTTGCAGATGATGTGGTCCTGTTAGCCTCCTCGGATCGTGACCTCCAGCATTCACTGGGGCGGTTTGCAGCAGAGTGTGAAGCAGCAGGGATGAGAGTTAGCACCTCCAAATCTGAGGCCATGGTGCTCTGCCGGAAACCGGTGGATTGCTCCCTCCAGGTGGGGACGGAGTGCCTACCTCAAGCGAAGGAGTTCAAGTATCTCGGGGTCTTGTTCACGAGTGAGGGTAAGATGGAGCGGGAGATCGACAGACGGATCGGTGCGGCTGCAGCAGTAAAGCAGGCGCTGCACCGGACCGTCTTGGTGAAGAGGGAGCTGAGCCGGAAGGCAAAGCTCTCAATTTACCACTCGGTCTACGTTCCTACCCTCACCTATGGTCACGAACTCTGGGTCGTGACCGAAAGGACAAGGTCGCGGCTACAAGCGGCCGAAATGAGTTTCCTCCATAGGGTGGCCGGGCTCAGCCTTAGAGATAGGGTAAGGAGCTCGGTCATCAGGAGGGAGCTTGGAGTCGAGCCGCTACTCCTTCGCGTCGAAAGGAGTCAGCTGAGGTGGTTCGGGCATCCAATTAGGATGCCTCCTGGACGCCTCCCACTGGAGGTTTTCCAGGCACGTCCAACTGGGAAGAGACCCCGGGGAAGAGACCCCGGGGAAGACCCAGAACACGCTGGAGGGATTACATCTCCCAGCTGGCCTGGGAACGCCTCGGGATCCCCCAGAATGAGCTGGAACATGTTGCCGGTGAGAGGGAAGTCTGGGTCAGCCTGCTTGGCCTGTTGCCACCGCGACCCGACCCCGGATAAGAGGAGGAAAATGGATGGATGGATGGATGGATCGTATCGTATTTGTGGTATTGTATCGAATTCTGGTATCATATCGTAAGTATCGGGTATCGTGATACTTATGGCAGGTATAATTTTGGTCATAATTTTGGTATCGTGACAACCCTAGTGTGTGTCTTTGTGTGTGTCTGTCAGTGTGTGTGTCTGTCTGTGTGTGTGTGTGTGTCTGTCTCTGTGTGTGTGTGTGTGCCTCTGTGTGTGTGTGTGTGCCTCTGTGTGTGTGTGTGTGTTACCCATGGTGATGATGAGACTGGAGTCGGTTGTATCTTCCTCCACCAGCAGGTACCCCCCCTCCTCCTCCTCCTCCCCCTCCTCCTGAGCTCCGCTTCCTCCAGGAGCCGGAGGATGCAGCAAAGCATCATTGGAGCTGAGCTGTGGACTGCAGCGTGGTGGTCTGAGGGTCCTGGTCCTGTTGGGTCCTGGTCTGGACGGGTTCAGTTTGAGGCATTTGAGGACGACGCTCATTGTGGAGAAACATGACCTCTGACCTGTCAAACAATGAGGTCATCATGTCATTAACATAACTCAGCTGTTCTTCATCATCATCATCACCACCACCACCTTCATCATGTGAGATCAGTCCCATCCTCTACTGTTTCTACCTCTATGAAGCTGTTGTTACAAAGATCAACCGTCCAACAGTCTGTAAAAGCCTAAAGGTGCCGAGTCATCAAAGTGAGTGATCGTCAGAGGACATCGCCAGAGAGGACATCGTCACAGAGAGGACGTCGTCACAGATAGGACATCGTCAGAGATAAATGTTTAGAAATGTGAACGTAGCAGAAAATGTGTTTATAAATGTTTATACACGTAAACGTGGACTCAGACCAGCTGGAGGTTCTCTCAGTAGAACATGTTCTGCTTTTAAATAGAGGTTTAATAAACTTATAGACAAAATGTATTTCATGTTATTAGCAGAACATTCTCTTTATCATAGTTCCTCCAGCACAGACTTTAATCTTCTTTTATATTTACAAATCATTTGTGGGATCAAGACATATCTCATATTTATAGTTCAGTGAAACATGTTTCCATTCTTCATCTGTTATGTGTTCCCAACTCTTCTTCTCTTTCTATCTCTATAGACAGCCCGAGACAATGTTCCACCAGCCACCACTGGCTAACAGTTAGCTCCTCACCTGGTTGAGTGCTCTCCTCCAGCTAGCGTGCTAACGCTTAACTAGCCGGCTAGTTTAGCTACCGCTAGCATCACAACAGACAGACTACAGGAGCCGGTAGTGTATGCATGTATATATATATATATATATATATACACACACACACACACACACACACATATCGTAGTTAGCCGGTGTCCCCTTCCGGTCCAACCCCGCTCTAGCGGTCCGGTACCGGTCGCTTTAATCCAGTTTACTGGTAAAGTTCCGTCACGAGCAGCAGAAACACTTTTACCGCCACAACAACGACGCGCTTCTGCGAAAGCTACACTTCCGGCTGTGCGTCACCACGTAACGGTGACGTCTTCTTCTTCCTTGAGGTTTATTGGCGGTTGGCCAACAATGACTTGGTTCATTACCGCCACCTGCTCGTTTGGAGTGTGGACCAGGATGTCTGGTACTTATATAGTTTAAGACAAATTTCGTTTTAAACCAAAAAGCTGTTTTTCAGTTTTTGTTTCTGAATCCAAAAACTAGAAAACGAGAGAACCAAACTTAAATAAAGCAGATTCTGTTTGTTTTTTTTAAAATCAATCCCGTTTTTGTTTTTTCTTTAAAAAGAGACGCAGAGCAGACAGGAGACCCGGAAATAAGAATATTTCAAAATAAAGGTGAAGGCAATAGAACGAGCGTATAGAATAAATTATTGTTTACAGTCTGATGTAAACACATACCAGACTGTAATAAATAAATAAAACATAAATATAAATAATGCGGAATAGTTTGTACAGACTCTAGTCTCTCTCTCCAGACTCTAGTCTGTGTCTCTCTCTCCAGACTCTCTAGTCTAAAGTGAACATTTGCTGCACCAATAAAAACCGTTTAAGAGAAAATCTGATTTTATTCATAAAACAATAAAAATAGTCTCAAACAAAGAAATATTACAATAAATCACTTCTATATTTACATAATCAAAGTGTAAATAAAAGTAGTGAACTTGACTAAAAGTCCCTCAGACAGTTGATTCAGTGCGTCATGTGATGTCAGATGGGGCGTGGCCTCATCCGGAGCTCTTCATCTTCCTCACCTTCAACAAATAAAACAGAAACGTATTATTTTATATTGTGCCCTTCTTCTACCGTTTCTACCAACTAATGAAGAAGAAAGAGAAAAGACAAGATGTCATTTTACATCCGTTTATATGAATTACCTGTCTAACAATAAATATTATTACTTAATTATAATAAACAATAATATTAAACAATGACACATTACCTGCAGGCCAAGAGCTTTAACGGGATGCAGACAAATCTGATACCTGTCGGAACCAGGACCAGCACCAGGACCAGTGTCCACCAGGTCCTGTGGGTCGGTAACAGTAACGGTCACCGGTTTGTTCTGGTGAAACAGGGATTCCCTCCGGCGGCTGCAGGGGCTCTGAGCCAGAGCGGCACAGAACCCGTAGGATGTGGTCTTCTTCTCCACGTGGACCAGAGACATGGCGGCACAGGTCCACGGATCCGAGTCCACAGACTCTGACAGGGCGGAGTGGTGAGGACGAGGTCTGGTCTGAAGACGGCAGGAGGACTCGTCCTGGTCCAACAGCAGTCCAGTCCGGTCCGGAGAGCTCTGGTGGAGCCGTGGAGACAGGAAGAGTAGTGGACCACGAGACGGGATGATGAAGCTCGGGATCCGCTGAGGAGTCAGAACCCGACTCCGGAGAGACGATTTAACAGCCGACATGATGACAGGTGAACTAGAGAGACCTGAGAGGAGAGCATCAATAACCACGCCCATACATCCACGCCCAGTATAGCACCGCCCACACATATGAAATATTAGACTATTTCTGCTGAGTGAAGGAGAGAAACCAGAGGTCCTTCATTGATGACGTGTGTGTGTGTGTATATATATATATATATCTATATACATATATATATACATATATATACATATACATATATATACATATATATATATACACATATACATATATATATATATACACATATACATATATATATACACATATATATACACATATATATATACACATATATATATACACATATATATATATATATATATATATATATATACACATATATA